TCAATAGCATCAAATCAAGAACCATTGGCATCAACTATGAATGAAATACGTCGGGCTTCAACAGCATCAGATCAAGGAGCTTCGGGTAAGTCATTTATACTTTTTTTCTAAGTAAAGTAAAGTGTTTAAGTGATTTAATATTGAGATAAATATGAAATATAATTGCTACGATCATTGTACAGTTTATTATTAATAGTATTTCGATTCTGTAAACATATCCTCATCTGTTTTCTCAATTCTATTTAGATAATAAAATGATATGTCATTTGAAATTTATTGATTTTTAATACAAATGATATTAACATTTGAAACTAATGTATCCTAGGAAAAATCGTTGATTCTTCCGTGCTGGATCCTTGACAAATTGCGTCGGGATTTTGTTAGGAATCATCCTTTTTTCCTGAAGATCCGACAGTATCCCGAAAGAAGCATGTAACCATGGAATTTCAGGAGATGTATCTGGTCTCCGTAAATTTGAACTGTTGACGAATTCAGAACTCAAACATCAATAAAAAATTGACAGACATCAGCCACAACTGAAAAGAATGCCAAGAAACTCAAGCAACTCCATGAAATCAAGAAGTGCAAGGAATTCAAGAAACTCAAAGAACTCTAGGAAAGCTAAAAATTCTATGTTGAACTTTATAAAAAGTCATTACTTCCGAGAAATACCCTGGCCATAAGGAAAAATTCAAACTCATAAACTTTCCATCATTCAGTTGCGTAAATGGCTGGTAACAGTAACTTCTCCGTGCTACTCTCAACTTATTCTTTAAAGACAAGAACGCTTGCGCTGCATCCTCCTCCTCAGCTTACTTTCAATACAATATAATATTACTCTACATTTTCACTCTCAAGTTATCCCTCCAGTCATCCTCACCTTCACGCACTTGCCTTTACCTTCAAAGTTCCACTACCAACCTCGCGAAGTCATGGAAGCAGGAATCACTGGAGCTTTTGTCTCGTGAACATTGGTAGCTGAAAACTTCTAGACTTTCTTGGCTTCATCGGGTTCCTTGAGTTCCCTGGATATCTTGTGTTGCTAGGATTCCTAGGACTCTTTGAACTCCTAAACTTCCTTGAGTTTTCAAAATTCCTTAGATACATTGGTTTCCTAAATTTCCTTGGGTTCGTTGGATTCCTTGAGTTCTAGGCATACAGCGAACCCGAGCTTCAGTTCGGAGCTAGAACAGAACAGTTAAAGTTTGGAATTAGATATTTTCGAATACCGTTAACTTTTTTTTGGAAAGCCTGTAGCCTTTCAATTCTTTGGGACATATACTTGGTTAATTATAGACCAGTCGTAAAGCCTTTCTTTTGGTTTACTTCTACCCCATCTCATTAATCAACCGAAAATGGATTCATTCTTTATCGAATTCGAGCCGAACTCACCGAACCCAACGTTCGGATTCGGTGCATGCCTATTAGGTTTCCAGAATTTCTTGATTTCCCAAGGTACGCTGAGTTCCTTGAACCCTAGAGTTCTTTCGTTACCTAGAATTTCTTGACTCTATAGGCTTTCTTGAATTCCTTGGAACCATTGGTTGCTTTGAATGGTACGCAGTTAATGGGTTTCATTGATTGAATTTATATTCAGGTTTGAGTTTCGAATTTCTAAAGAGTTCAGAGTACATGGAAATAGGACTTTGCTGTTATCTCGATACTATTGATAAAAAGTAGTTTTAACTTTTTTTTATGGATAAATGAAATTGAAGAAAATTTCTATAGAAAGATGTGTCCCTTGTTCAAAATGACTATTTGATAAATAATAAAACCTATAATAAGAACTTGTATACAGAAACCAATATTTTTCTGGACTAAGATGATCTTGAAGGCCATACGAAGATCAAAATATAATTTTCAAGTGACTGTCAGATGGAACAATAAATCTTTTACAACTGATGATTTTTTTTAATGTCACTTTTCTTTTTTAAAGTTTTGTTTTTTTCATAAATACAATGTGCACCCTTATTTATCTTACAGAATATTTTTAAACACAGTATTAAGATATCTGATGAAACTATTCTGTCAATTTTTAACCGATCTATTGACAAATTATGCCATCATAAGAAAAGTGTTCTTTGAATGGGATATTCAACCTCATGATAAAATCGTAATGAATCTATTTTTGTCGAGATCTTAAACTAGATCAGTTATAAATCTTCACAAGATCATAATAATCAAATCATTTTTAATCAATTTTATTCAACGAAATCAATTAAAGTTTTATTTCAATATTTTTTTTTTCTTTTTTTTTTATTGGACAAGTTTCTTCTTCTTACGTTAATATCAAAACCAAATGGCAACAACATGGAATAACCATTGCTGGAGGAAATGGTCAAGGCAAACAATTAAATCAACTCTCTTCTCCTTATGGTATCTATATTGATGATGATGATCAATGTATTTATATTGCTGACTGTGATAATCATCGTATTGTTGAATGGAAATATAATGCAGAGATTGGTCAAGTTGTTGCAGGTGGAAATGGATATGGAAATCGTATGGATCAATTGAATGGACCAACTGATGTGATTGTTGATCAACAGAATGATTCTCTTATCATTTGCGATTTAGGAAATAGACGAGTGGTACGATGGCCTCGTCGAAATGGTACAAAAGGACAAACAATCATTTCTGATATTGATTGTTATAATTTAACAATGGATAACAATGGAGATCTTTATATCTCTGACTTTGAACGACATGAAGTGAAACGATGGAAAATAGGAGACACAAATGGAACAATTGTAGCAGGTGGAAATGGAAAAGGAAATCATCTCAATCAACTCAATCAACCTACTTCTCTCTTCGTTGATCAAGATCATTCAGTCTATGTATCGGATTGTGGGAATCATCGTGTGATGAAATGGATGAAAAGTGCAAAGGAAGGGATTATTGTTGCTGGTGGACAAGGTGAAGGGAATAGTTTGGCACAATTGTCTTATCCTGAAGGAGTGATTGCCGATCAGTGGGGTCATGTCTATGTGGCTGACTCTTATAATCATCGAATAATACGTTGGTTGAAAGCATCTAAAGAAGGTCGGATTGTCGTTGGTGGCAATGGAAAAGGAGAAAAACCAAATCAGTTCAATCTTCTCAGAGGTTTATCAATCGATCGTCAAGGTAATCTCTATGTCGTCGATAATTCGAATCATCGAGTACAAAAATTTGAAACTGATTTAAATTGAATAAATATTTGTGATAAAAAAAAAAGAATAATTGATGAATAATAATGTTGTGAAACTTTTTGTTTTATATATTTAAATAAATTGAAGAAAACGGAAATAATTTTGTTGATTAAAAATGATTTGTAAGATAAAATTTTGTAAAGAATAATAAAAATATTTAATTAATAATTGAAATAAATTTCAATGATTTATTTTTTAAATTTTAATTTGATTTTGTTGAAATATTTTTAAAAAAGAGAACAAAGGACAAACAGCGGACATTTGTACTTGAAGTTATTGCGTACTACCTTGAACTACTTTTGCCTCGTTAAACCTACTTAGGGTTACTTCAAGTCACCTGAATACTTTAAGCCACTTGGAACTTCTCTGTTTCAAAGTATATCAATGAGAGATAGTGCAACAAATATTCCTAGACCATTTATATTATCTGTTGATGGTGTTGATAACAAATTTACAGCTATGAATGTTTTACATTGACGGATTTACCAGCTGGTCCGAAAGTTTGACTCTTTTTTGAAAATTGAGTATTCCAGCAAAAGGATCATTTGTTTTAGCTAAAACTTTCAGAACATTCTAAAGATCATTCCACCTATTTATAAACCAAACTTCATCTTAAAATCCCTTTCCTTTATGATTTCTATACAGAGTGTTTCTAAAAATCTGTGTGAAAAAAAAATCAATAGCTTTGGAACAATGTTTGTGATTTACATGATTTTTTTAAATCATTCAATCGTATGTTATTTAAACTTTTATTTCATATTTAAAATAAAACTTCAAAGAGTATTCTATTAAATGATGAAAATCTAATTTAAATCGTTTGAATCATTGAAGAATTATTTGAATTTTTTTCATGGCAGACTTTTGGAACATCCTATAGACAATCAAAAATTGTCTAGATACGGGCATTCGAGTTATTGGTTTTTGTCTATGGGTAAGTTTCATTTATTGTATGTTTTTCTAAAATATTTTTCGATTGTAAATAAACGCGTATAATATAATGCACGTGTTTATGCATACTTACTTAGAAAGATTATTCAGTAAATTCAAACAATAAAAAAGGAAGACATTGCCATTTGATATCAAAGAACTTTTCTCATTGCGATAGTTGCACTTTTAGTAGCTCCGTGGTGAGAGAAATACAAATACTCTGAGAAAGATTTTTTTACTAGCATTCTTCTGGTAGCCGGCAGGAAAGGGTTAAATATCTTCACAATAAGTCAGCTTGTTGATTACTTTCGCACAAGATAACGAAATTATCAATTGATCATTTATCTCATGTCAAACAGCAAACAGTTTATAATGATTAATAAACTTTTTGTTCCTGTTTGTGTACGGGTGTGGGTGTGGATGTTGTATTCTCTTCACGCGCACCTCACTCACACTCATCCACCCAAAAAAGTTTGTCCAAAAAAATGTTTGCCGAACATAGCAGAAAATCAAAAAAAATAAAATATTCCGTTCAAAAAAGCCGATTTTTTATCCTTCTCACTTTTGAAATTTCTATGAGTTGACACAACCTAATCAGTGGCGAATCCGCTATTTTAGAGATCCGACGACCGTCATCTCCCTGGAATAGAAGTGACGACAAAAATTTTTAAAATGTTTCTCTAATGTTTCAACTCAAGAGATCATATCTTGCAATAGAGAAATTAACCAAATGTCAGCTTTGATCGTTAAAGTACGGTTTAAAATGTTCAATAAAGCTCTTGACTGAGTAATAGTGACAGATACAAAAACGAGATTAGTCATAGCCACCATTTGTCGACGCTTTATTCAAAGATACTTTAAAATTAAGTCATAATAAACAAAAGCTTACAATATACTCACAATAAAACCAAGATGAAGTCTCAATTAAAAGTGAATAGTTTAATTGTTTTACCAGAGGTTTTGAATACTTTCTTAGAAAGATCTAATCTCTTCAATACATGTTGATCGAAATACAAAAAAGAATATGCTAAGGAAATTAAATTTTTAGGATTGCCTTCTTTTATGTAACATGTAGATGTCTTTGGAAAAATATGATTTATTATTGAGTAAAGTACTGCAAGAAAAAGCATTGTAAATTTTTGATGAAAATTATTATTTTTATTTCAAACTTTCGATAATTATCAGTTGTCATCGTCAAGAAATGCCTATAGGAAGGCACAATAAACTATGTATACACAAATTTACAATTAAAGATAAAAGATAAAAGAATAGCAATTACAATATCACAAGTAGCGCTCATCCTACGGATTCGCTAACCCTTTTCTGAAATGATGGTACTTCATTGTGAATTAAAAAGAATGTTATTCTGAAAAAGTCACTTCTGAATTATCAATGGTTGAGCTCATCATTCGCTTCGAAAAGATTCTATAGATATTAGACGAATCAGAGTGTGAGTGTGCGGGTGTAGATGTACAACCATTACCAAGAACCACAACTCACACCCACACCTACCCGCACAAGTGTAACGGAAAAAATTTTCCGGCTTGTTCAATCCTCCACATTACAGATAGATATAACACCATAAATAGTTGCTCTATAGGTTGCAAACTCATACCTATAAAAATAATTCTTAGCTTATGAGTTCCACATTTCTAGCTCGAAGGAGACCGCAATAACAAATCTTTTCGATATACTAGATTTAATTTAAGTTTTTGCTTACATAAAAAGCTTCAAATGCACTGATATAATTGAAAAAGCCTGTAACCTATTAGTATAAGACGACATCAGAGAACTAGCTATGTGAAAATTCAAACCTTTTGTAGAAAGAAATCTGTATACATATGTATGAGAATCTGTTCCAAAGTTTTCACTTAAAACTTATTCGTTCATATGTAAAACATTACAACGAATTGGATGTTTTTTAAACTCATGAAACTTGAAAATGTTTGAATTTCAATATTATTCAATGGCATGGATAAAGATAAATATTTACTATTTATGTTTATAATGGAGTTATTGATTATATTCGAACAATTAAAGATATGCCAAAGTTTTTATTTTGAATTAAAATGATTATTAACATATTCAAGTCAAGACTGTGTCAATTTTCAACTTATTCTCTGTCTTGTATACATTATAAATGAGATTCCTTTGATTTTGTTTCCACCAATCTGTTTGAAATCGTCCGCTAATTTCATGAGTCGTGATGTTCCAAGGCATATACTCAATAGTTACAGAGACATAAAGATAGAGTTGGTAATGTCCATGTAAGAGAATATGTTCCCATTTGCTCGCTAAGAGATAATCAAAATGTTTGCCATTATAAGTCAAATGAAGTTGTTTTTCAGGTTGAATATTGCGAAGAAGTGTGTCTACTACACCAAATTGTACATCTTTGCCGACATTGAGATGCCAAGTAAGTATACTAGGTACATTCATGGATGGAAATCTGAAATCTATCTGTGAATTGTCGTGAATAGAAATATTCAGATGAGTCAATTGAGATGTTAAATGAAGGAGATTATAAAGTTGTGGTAGGAAACACGTGTTAATCTTCAGTTTCCTTATAAACGATCGTTGAACCGAACATGCAACCTAGAAAAGAAAAAGAAAGATCATTATAAAGTTGAAATTTTTTGAATATTTGAGAATGATGTTTTTTTTTTCATCTATATTTCATAATATTATATAAAAATAGACCAAAATAAGAAAATAAAAGTTGAGATTAACTCGAATTTCTATTTGAAAAAAATCAGTTCGTGCTAAAATTTAACATTGAATATTCTCAAGTATTTATTCTATTGATGCAAAAATATTCTATTGTCTAGAATACAAGTTTATGTGCTCATAGGAATAATTCAAAGAAATCTGTAAAAATATTAACATACTAGATCATTCCGATGAAGATTTGGAAGATGGCATATTTTTAAAGATTTCATCTGTTGACCGTCGAAGATGAGTCTATACACATATTGTCGATCTTCATCGTCTGCTGTTGTCGTTAAATTAATAAAGCGATACCATTCGATGACAAGCCAGCAAATGTTTCTCTTTGTAGACTCGAGTATAATTCGAGCTTCTTTGTAACAAACTGAAAACAATTTTATTGTTTTAAGACGAGTAAAGATACTTAAGTCTGGTATATAGTATAGGAACACCTTGATTTCATTGCATGCACGGGCATTTTCAATTTCGAGAGAAGTAATATTTGACGGGAATACAGGAAGAATATTTCGAATAATTTGTTCAAAAGTAATAAGATCACAGTGAACCAGATCAATGCCAACAGACTTGTGTCGTAAACCGATCAGAGAACGAAAACGCCAGTTAAGATCAAAAAATGCTCGAACCACATGAGCAAAAGAGAGATAGTCGAATATTTCTATATGAATTTCATTCGATAAAGATTCGTATATTGTGATGTATGCCGTCATTATCTACAAAACATGAGTCAGATTAGTGTATCAAAGTTTCATAAGCTTTTGAATGGTTTATACAATTGATAAGTACTTGAAAAAAAATGTTTGATGTCAAGTTTATGAGTCTCACAAATCCTTTTATAGAATTAATCTTCTATGCATTTTATTACAATTTTGTATGACAAATGAAACTTTTATTAACTTCTAACAAAATTACGCTTAGTTGTTGCTTTTAATAGAGATAAGCTTTTAATAATGTGGGTTATCTCCAACAGAAAGTATAATGTTTTTTTTGTTCTTTCTTCCTTGCGAAAAAAAGCAATGCATATCTTTTTCTTTTCTAGCATGTGTCATTGTACATACAGTCTGTTTCTCTTGCACATGTTTTACTATTTCGAATGTATATATATATATATGAATGAATATAAGATCTAAATCCACTCTTCAACATCATTGAATATTAAAACGATCGGAAAAGAATAGCGAAACAAATATCTTGAAAATTTTGATATATAACACTTGTAATTATTTAGATTTACATGTGTCAGTTTGCACTTTTCATACGAGTCGAGACTCTTGGCTTCAGAGCTGTGATTTCTCATTGTTATGAACCTGAACTTAAAAAATAAACTAAAATTTAACATTCGTACCAGA